ATTTATTGCATGGGCGTAATCTGTGAGGTAAGGTCACCAATTATGGAAGACACAAAATATTAAATTAAAAATGTTTTCAAAACTTAAATACCAAAAATTGGTCGGATCAGAAAATTGACAAAATTTTAAAATTATTTTGCCTGGCAAAATAAACCCACTCTGGCTTCTTCTTTTATTTGTTTTCCACTTGGCAATAATTTTTGGTTTTAATTTTCTTCTGAGCTAAGAACAGAAAATGGAATGCAGTAAAAAATATGGCCAAAATCTGTCAATTATACAAATTTGGTCGGATTTCCAAATATAAGGGCAAAACGGATGCGGAGACTTCTTTCTCCTAATTGTTCAATTTCCTATTTTTAATGAGCTAAAATTTTGAAATGACAAATTACAAAAAAAAAATTGGTTAAATTAAAATAAAAATCCCAATCAAAATTGGTCGAAATGAAAAAAGTGGACCAAAGTCTACAATTTATTGCATGAACATAATCTATGATGTGAGAGCGCCAATTATCGAAAACACAAAATACCAAATTAAAAATGAGTTCGGAACTTAAATACCAAAAATTGGTCGGATCAGAAAGTTGACCAATTTTAAAATTATTTGCTGGCATAATAAACCCACTCTGGCTTCTTCATTTATTTATTTTCCATTTGGCAACAATTGTTGGCTTCAATTCGTCGTCAGAGCAAATTGATTTTTTTTTTTAAATTAATTAAAAACCAAAAATTGGTCGAATCATAAATTTGACAAAATTTTAAAATTATTTGCCTGGCAAAATAAACCCACTCTGGCTTCTTCTTTTATTTGTTTTCCACTTGGCAACATTTTTTTGCTTTAATTCGCCGTTAGAGCGAAATTAATATTTTTTTTAGCAAAGCCGACAACCAATTTTCATATGGCACTCTAACATCATCATGGTAATGCCGTATCCTGGTTTATCTTACTGTCTTACCGACTTCAGTTGGTAATAAGGTAACGATGTAATAACTACTCATTATACCATGTTCACACGAAGCTAATATTCCTAATTATTTGTCAACAAGAGAATATTTTTTTAATTGACAGAAAAATTAATGAAAACAACAATTTTTTGTTTATTAAATAATTTATTAGTATTTATATTGTAAATTTATAAATAATTTCACATTCAAACAAATGTTGTGAACAAAAAAGAAATAAAATTAATAAACATTTTTTTTAGATGCCTTAACCTAAACGGAGGAATTTTTTTTAAATAAAATTTTTCAATTAAAAAAGTTTATGTATACAAACCAATTTTTTTTTTATAATGTAAAAATAAAAAATAATTTCTAAATAATTTAAATTTTGTATTAATTTTTATAATGACAAATAATTATTTTAAAAAATATTTTTTTTTTCTAAAATGGGACACACATTTAACTAATGTACAAAATGGAATACGGATGTGTGATACACAAAATAAATATTAATTAATAATATTTTATTTATTTTTTTATTATTTTTGTAAATAAATTTTAATTAAATAATATTTTTTTGTTTTATAATTATTTATTTTAATTTTTTTATTTTAATTTTATGCGGCGAAAAATTACAAATAATAACTAAGGAATATAATTAAGAAATAATAATTATTTTAATTTATTATTTTATATTACTATTATTATAATTAATAATAATTGTATATAATTAAAATAATTTGAATTTATTTATTTTTGTTTAATTATTTAAATTAATAAAAATAAAATAAATTACTACATTTCAGTCTTCAGAAAGTGCTTAGAAATTGTTGTATAGTTGTTTTATATATACAACTATTTTTTATATATAAACTATATGTATGTATACTTAAACCTCTGGATCGACAATTATTATATATAATATAAAATTTATTGAACTAAATTATTAAAATTATGTTTGAATTTTTAGTTTTCTTTTTAGTTTATAACGAAATTTCTAAATATTTTTTTTCTCGATTTTTTATTAAAGAATTTTTTATAATTTTTTTTAATTCTTATTATTATTTCAATTTTTTCATAGATTTTTAATTCGGAAAATTTTTTCACATTAAGTTAAAATTGTTTTCTTCAAGGAGTTATGGGGAAATTCCGAAACACTTTGGGATTTTTTTTTTTTTTTTTTTTTTTTTTTTGGAGATGCTTATCCAATGGCAATCTACCCCTGAAGTGTTAATTTTAGAGACTCATGCCCAATGGAAAAAAAGTTCTCCAGCAAATTCCACTAAGGGTCGCCGAACAAAAGAAATCGGTAGCTATAATATATAACCTGGAAATATCGAAACCGATTTGACCAAATTAATTATACAAATTTTCGAATAAATTTTTAAGACATTTCGACTCTGGGTTATTTTCTCCCACTGCATATTATTTTAGGCGCTTAATGTCAATGGGAAAAATATTCCTCATGAAATTTCGCTATAGGCTTGGGAACAAAAACTATTTGTAGGTATAACATGGGCCTGGGAAAATCGGGAACCAATTTGGGTTTATTAATAAAGAAAAAAAACTATATTTATGATTTTTTGGATTATTTTCATCCAGTGCCAAACTACCCCTGAAAATTTAATTTTAGAAACTCATGATCAATGAAAAAAATATTCTTCGTCGAATTTCACTATGGGTCTCCAAACAGAAGAGTTCGCTAGCTATAATATATAACCTTAAAACATCGGAACCGATTTGACCATATAAATTCCAAATAAATTTCTAACATATTCCGATTCAGGGTCATTTTCTCCCACTGCACGTTATTTTAGGTCTTTGATGTCAATGGGGAAAATATTCCTAATGAAATTTTACTATAGGCTACGGAGAAAAGATTATTTGTAGGTGTAACATAGGTCTGGGAAAATCGACATCAATTCGGATGTATTTGTAAAGAAAAAAATTCTATATTTGCCATTATTTGGATGATTTTCATTCAGTGCCAAAATACCCCTGAAGATTTAATTCTAGAATCTCATTCCCAATGGAAAAAATGTTCTCCAGCAAATTCCATTAAGGGTCGTCGAACGAAAAAAATTGGTAGCTATAATATATAACCTTGAAACCTCGGAACAGATTTGACCATATAAATTATGAAAATTTTCGAATAAATTTCTAATATATTCCGACTCTTGGTCATTTTCTCCCATTGTATATTACTTTAGGTACTTGATGCCAATGGGAAAAATATTCTTTATGAAATTTCACTATAGGCCGTGGAACAAAAAATAATTATAGGTGTAACATAGGCCTGGGAAAATTAGGAACCATTGGGATAAATATCACAAAAATATACACAATTGTAATTTTTGATCAATAATTTTTCGATCATTTTCATTCAGTGCCAAACTACCCATGAAGTGTTCACTTTAGAAACTCATAACCAATGGAAAAATTATTCCACATCAAATTCCACCAAGGGTCGCCGAACACAAGAAATCGGTGGCTATAACATAACATCTTGAGAAATCCGAACCAATTTAACTATATAGATCATCAAAAATTTCGATTAAATTTCTGAGATATTCCGATTCTTGGCCATTTTCTCCAATTTAATATTACTTTAGGCATTTGATGTCAATGTGAAAAGTATTCCTCATAAAATTTCACTATAGGCTATAGAACAACAACTATTTGTAGGTGTAACATGGGCCTGGAAAAATCGGAAACCAATTCGAGTTTATTTGTCAAGAAAAAATCGATATTTGTGATTTTTCGGAACATTTTCAACAAGTGCCAAACTACCCGTGAAGATTTAATTTTAGAATCTCATGATCAATGGAAAAAGTATTCTTTATCGAATTTCACTATGGGTCTCCGAACAAAAGAAATTGATAGCTATAACATGACATCTTAAAAAATCCGATCCAATTTAGCTATACAAATTGGAGAAAAAATGTTAAATGATTTAAATAAATTTTTAAGTTTTTCTAATTCAGAGCCAGTTTCACCTATAGGATTTTACTTTAGGTCCTTGTCGGTAAAGGAGGAAATGTTCTTAATAGAATTTCACTATGAGTACCAGAAATAAAGCATCCCTAAGAAAATCGGGGCTTCATTAGGATATATATGTAGAAAAAATCTACTATTTGAAATTTTTTAATCATTTTCAATGAGAAGCAATTTACTACTGAAGACTACATTTTAGAAGCTCGTAATCAATATAAAAAATATTCTCGATTGAATTTTACCATGGGTCCTCGAACCAAGGAAATGGATAGCTATCCCGTAACATATTGAGAAATCCGCTCCAATTTGACCATAGAAACACATGAAAATGTATTAGAGGATTAAAATCAGTTTCTGGTCGTTTTTTAATTGTAGACCAATATCGCCCATAGAATTTAAGTTTAGGTCCTCATAGAATTTCACTATAAGTCCCAGAAATAATGATATCTGTAGCTACAACGCATCTCTGGGACAATAGGAAATCAATTAAGGTATGTTTTATAAAAAAATTAATTTGCAATTTCATTTTCAACTACTGGCAAACTACCCCTGAACATTACCTTATAGAAGCTCGTGACCAATGGAAAAAATGTTCTCCATTGATTTTCACTAAGGGTCTCCGAACAAAAAAAATCGCTAGCTATTACATAAGATCTTAAAAAATCCGCTCCAATTTGATCATACAAACACAAGGAAATATATTAGAGGATTAAAATCAATTTCTTGCTTTTTATCACTCTGGGCCAATATCACCCACAGTATTTAAGTTTATTTCCTCGGTCCTAATGAAAATAATGTTCTTCGTAGAATTTCACTTAAGGTCTCTGAATAAATGAAACCGGTAGATATAACATATCCTATACTACTTGGGATACTATCCCCAGGTTAGTATCCAATTTGGGTTTATTTAAAGAAAAGAAAATTTCGGAGTGTTTCTGACTATTGGCCGATTTCACCCACAATTCTTTATTCTAGGCCATTGGTGTAAATGGAAAACATTTTCTCCATCGAATTTCACTAGGAGTCTCCAAACAATAGAAATCTGTAGGAGTAATGCATAACCTCTGAAAATCCCGTTCAAATTTGTCTATTAAGACCATAGAGAATTTTGGACAAATTTCAAAGTTTTTCTCGCCCGGGTCCTATTTTACCCACTGAATGTTATTTTAGATCCTTGGTGTTAATGGAAAAATGGTTCTCCACAAAATTCTACATGAGGTCTCCAAACAAATAATAATTGGGGGAATTATATTTTCATGGGAAAATCGGTTACAATTTGGATCAATTAATGAAAAACTAAATTTTGGAGTTTTTCAGATTATTGGCCGATTTCACCCACACTGCTTTATTCTAGGTCATTAGTGTCAATGGAGAAAATATTCTACATCGAATTTCGCCAGGGGCCTCCGAACAAAAGAAATCCCTAGCAATAATATATGACCTTTAAAAATACCGATTAATTTGTTTATAAAAAATATAATAAAAATTGCGAACAAATTACAAAGTTTTTCTCACCCAGGGCCTATTTTACCCACTGTAAGTTATTTTAGGTCCTTGATGTCAATGGAAAAAATACTCTCCACAAAATTCTACATGAGGTCTCCAAACAAATAATAATTGTGGGAATTATATTTTGTTGAGAAATTCGGAAAAAATTTTGATTAAGTAATGAAAAACTAAATTTTTGAGTTTTTCTGACTATTGACCGAATTCACCCACAGAGCTTTATTCTAGGTCATTAGTGTCAATGGAGAAAATATTCTACATCGAATTTCACTAGGGGCCTCCAAACAAAATAAATCCCTAGCAATAATATATGACCTTTAAAAATCCCGATTAATTTGTTTATAAAAAATATAATAAAAATTGCGAACAAATTTCAAAGTTTTTCTCATCCAGGGCCTATATCACCCACTGTATGTTATTTTGGGTCCTTGGTATCAATGGAAAAATTATTCTTCACAAAATTCTACATGAGGTCTCCAAACAAATAATAATTGTGGGAATTATATTTTGTTGAGAAAATCGGCTACAATTTAGATCAATTAATGAAAAACTAATTTTTTTGAGTTTTTCTGACTATTGACCGATTTCACCCACAGTGATTTATTCTAGGTCATTAGTGTCAATGGAGAAAATATTCCCCATCGAATTTCACTATGACTCTTGGAACAAAAGAAATCTGTAGCTATAATTTCTATTCTGTAAAAAATCTGTTCAATTTTGCTCCTCATAATCATTTTATAGAAATTTTGATTTTGTTTTCTCACCTTTACTGTTTGGAGGTCATTACAGCTACATTACAGTATATATGTCAATGGAAAAATTAACCCCCCTGGTGCTGCATCATAGGCCCCACAGATATATCCATTTTTCCTTGCATTATTTTCCTACTTTTTTTACTGGGATTATTATTTGGGCCTCTTGTGAAATTCCTCTCTCGAAATATTTGCTCCATTATTTCTCTCCTTAAAATCTCCCGAAATTTTGTTTTCACATCTCTTGAAAGGCAATTGCTCCATTTTCAAAAAAATATTTTTCAAAAATTTTTTTTTCAAAAATTATTTTTCAAAAATTATTTTTCAAAAAGCATTTTTTAAAAATTATTTTTTGTTTTTTTTTTGAAAAAATTTCAAGCTTCCTCTTCTTTAGAAAATTTCCCAAAACTCCAAGGACCCCTTGAAGGAAAACATTTTCTCAATTTCCTTAATTTCATTTAACAAAAAAAAAATCAAAATTTCCTAAAAATTACTTCAATCCCTTCTCCTCCCCCTGCTCGGATTCCTCCGAACCCCGGCGATAATCCCCAGCAGCATAATCTTGTTCCAAATTCCTATAACTTGGCTGGTCTTCTCTATTCACATTTCCAATTTCATTCACCGGTGTGGCTACTGACCTACACCCATCCTCCTGCCCCTCCTCCTGCTGCTGCTGTTGGACTTCCCCCACATTTGTTTCGCTCAACGAAAGCTTGGGTGACAGCGAACTCGGCGAGGAGCCTTGCGAGGATGGTGACAATGAATTCGAATTGGATGTTTCACACAGACCGGTATTGATTTCCATTTCCAATTCCGAATAGATGTCAATGAGATTATTTATGCCAATCAGATAGCCATCCTCGTGATTGCCCACCTTCCAGGTGCTGTTGTGGCTAATGAAATGATTCTCGGGCAGATGGACAGTTTTGGCGAAATCAATCAGCCAGACATTGGCCTGTTTGCGATCGTGGACAAAGAGCAGGGAACTGCCAATCACCTCGTGGCTGCGGAAGAAATCGGAACATTCTAGGGTGGCACGGATAGCACGTAAGCGTTGTAAATAACGGGGCTGGAAAATTAAAAAATCGAAAATTAATTTCGTTTCAAAAATGTCCTCGCTTTTCCTCAAAACTCACCATGGCATGGGGAAAGCCATTGACGAACTCCTTGAAGGCCGCCTTGATTTGTTCTCGGGATTTTGTGGTTTTGAAATCCTTGGTGCTGGTGCCGTCACTTTTTTTGATGCCCTGCAAATGAAATGAAAAAATGAATAAAAATGTCCTCCATTTCCTTTAACCTTTCCCTCACCTCTATGCGAAAACCCAGGGTGGCCGTACTGGAGATGGTCTCCCGCCATACCATGTAACGCGGTTTGGTTACCCCCTTGGCCTTGTGTTCCTCCTCGCTGGGGGCATTCGGATCGATTTGTATCATTTTCTCATACATGTCCTTGCGCAGCTTGGGTTTCTCCTTGGCCTTGGACAATTCCTCCTCGAGATAAGTACGTACCCCAATTTTACAGTCCATGACACAGGGTTGATAGAAATCGCTGAGGAGATCTTGTAGCTGGAGATATACTGTAAACGGAATAAAAAAGGATATTTTAAGGACCTCTCTTTTGCTCTCCCAATTTGTGACTTACATTCTCCATCCTCACTGGTCACCTGACCTTTGTACTCCGGCACATAGGGCCTCAGCACATCCTTCATGAGTATGTGAAAACAGTCCTCTTCCTTGGGACACAACTTCTTTAGGACGGTACCCTGTTCGGTGCCAGCCTTGAAGTTGCCCTGATGACCAGCCAATTGGACCCAGGGATAACGTTGTTTTTTGTACGTTTGGAAGAACGGCGTCCATTGGACAATGTTGCGGATTTTGCGCCAACCGGAAGGCTGATAAAAGACAGAGAAAAAGGAAAAAATTAAAAACCAAATTTAAAAGAAATATTAATTTTTAAGCTAATGTCCTTTAATACTTAAATTTTACTTTTAGTGCCAACATCTCGATCATATTTGGGGAACATATTAACCCTTTAAGATCTCATTTAGAGCGATTTCGGACCCATTTCCGCAAAAAAATTGAGAAATTGATTAGAAAAATTAAATAAAAAAAAAAATTTTGATTCCAGGATTGCTTTGAATCCTTCTACTTTAGATAAAATATATATTCAGCAATTTTACTACTAACATCCTGCGGAATATTTTTGTAGAACATATTAACCCTCTAACATCTCATTTGGGCGGTCTTTTGGGACCTTTTTTGTGATAAAATAAAAAATTAAATAAAATACCTCTTTTTTCTTATGAGGTTTCCTTGTATCCTTAAACTTTATCCTTACGTTTTCGATAAAATATTTATTCAGCAATCTTACTCCCAACGTCATAAGGAACATTCTTCGAAAACATATTAACCCTCTCAGACCACATTTAGTTGGTCTTTTGAGCACTTCTTTGTCAAAAAAATTAAAATAAATGGGAATTTTATAGAAATAATATTTTTAGTCCTTTAAAGATATCTCCGAATCCTTTAATTTGTGGTAAAAATTATCTGGAATAAATTTATTCCGAATGTTCAGAGGAACATTTTTGTGGAACATATTAACCCTCTCAGACCACATTTAGTTGGTCTTTTGGGTCCTTCTTTGCCAAAAAATTAAATAAATGAAAATTAAATAAAAATAATATTTTTATTCCTTCCAAGATCCTTCCGAATCCTTAGATTTTAGATAAAAATTATCTGAAATAATTTTATTCCGAATATTCCAAGGAACATTTTTGTGGAACATATTAACGATCTATTATCTCATTTTGGGGTGTTTCGGGCCTTTTTCGGTTAGCAAAAAATAAAAAATCTAAAAAAAATGAAGTAATATTTTTTTCAATTTTCGGAATTTCTTTGAATTCATAAATTTTAAATAAAATTTGTCTTCAGCAAATTTTCTACAGACATCTCCAGGAATATTTTTGTAAAGTACGTTAACCCTTTAACACCTCATTTGGGGGTGTTTCGGGTACTTCTTTGCCAAAAATTAAATAAAATATAATGTTTTAATTAATTTCAAAATTTCTACGGATCTTTCGAATTTTTCAAGATTAAAATCTTCCGCAAAATTACTGTACACATTCCGAGGACCATTTTTGTATAACATCTTAACCCTCTAAAACCTCATTTAGGGGGACGATTGGGTCCCTCTTAAGAAATTGAAATAAAAATACTAAGAAAAATAAAAAAAAACCTTAAAATTCCTTTAAATTCCAAAAAATTTAAATGAAGCTTCTTCAAAATTTTACTGCTAGTATCCCTGGGAGCATATTTGTAGAACACATTAACCCTCTAGGACCTAATTCAGTGGGCATTTTGGGTTATTTGTCCAAAAAAACTATAGAAATACCACATGATTCAAACCATTGACATTTTCGAACTCGTTTCATTTCACCCCGATATTGACACTTTACGTCCAATTTGTCAATGGGAAAAATGTTCCTCATCAAATTTCATTAGGGGTTGCCTGCGAAAAGAATATCCTAGACCCCATATATTGAAGGGAAATATCGCTTCAAAGTTGATAATTTAAAAAAGATTAAAAAAATATATCACAGTTTCATTTTCTGACCTCTTCGGTCGGGGGGCCGTTTTAACCCCTAGTTTCTTGTTCTAGGGTCTTGACTTCAATGGAAAAAATATTCCTTACACAATGTTACTATGGGTCTCTGAAGGAGAAAAATCGCTAGCTTTAACTTATATAAGTAAAAATTGGCATAGGTACCATGGTTTCCGTATATATATTTTTTTATTTTTTTTGAAATTTTTAATTATAGGCTTTTGTCGGATGTGATGCCAATTTCGCCCAGAACAATATGTTCCAGAGCCTTGATGTCAATGGAAAATTTAATCTACATCAAATTCCACTGGAGGTCGCGGAACAACAGAAATCGGTACATAGAATTTTTAATACATAAAATCCGCTTTGGGTTGTTGAGTTATAAATTTTTATGGCAATTTTTGGGTATTTTTCATCCGGAGCAAAATTCTCCCTTTAAAGTCCATTTTAGGTGACAGATGTTAATGGAAATATTGTTCTCCATCAAATTTCACTGTGGGTCGGGGAACAACAGAAATCGGTATATATAATTTTTAATACAGAAAATCTGGGTTGTATTGTTGGGTTATAAATGTTTAGGGCAATTTTTGGGTATTTTTTATCCGGAGCTAAATTCTCCCGTAAAAGTCAATTTTAGCTGACAGGTGTTAATGGGAAAAATGTTCTCCACTAAATTTCACTGTGGGTCGGAGAACAACAAAAATCGGTATATATAATTTTTAATATAAAAAATCGGGATTGGATTGTTTATTTATCAATATTTACGGCATTTTTTTGGGATACTTCTCATCCGGAGCTAAATTTTCTTTTAAAAGTCTATTTTAGCTGAGAGATGTTAATGGAAAAAATGTTCTCCATCAAATTTCACTGTGGGTCGCGGAACAACAGAACTCGGTATATTAAATTTTTAATACAGAAAATCTGGGTTGTATTTTTGGGTTATAAATGTTTAAGGCATTTTTTGGGTGTTTTTCATCCGGAGCTAAATTCTCCTATAAAAGTCCATTTTAGCTGACAGATGTTAATGGAAATATTGTTCTCCATCAAATTTCACTGTGGGTCGCGGAACAACAGAAACCGGCATATATAATTTTTAATATAAAAAAATTTGGTTGAATTGTTGGGTTATAAATTTTTATGGCAATTTTTGGGTATTTTTCATTCGGAGCTAAATTCTCCCTTAAAAGTTCATTTTAGCTGACAGATGTTAATGGGAATATTGTTCTCCATCAAATTTCACTGTTGGTCGCGGAACAACAGCAATCGGTATATATAATTTTTAATATAAAAAATTTTGGTTTGGATTGTTGGGTTAAAAATTTTTATGGCAATTTTTGGGTATTTTCTCATCCGGAGCTAAATTCTCCCTTAAAAGTCCATTTTAGCTGACAGATCTTAATGAAAAAATTATTCTCCATCAAATTTCACTGTGGGTAGCGGAACAACAGAAATCGGTATATATAATTTTTAATATAAAAACTCGGGTTGGTTTGTTGGTTTATCAATTTTTATGGCAATTTTTGGTTATTTTTGGGTATTTTTCATCCGGAGCTAAATTCTCCCTTAAAAGTTCATTTTAGCTGACAGATGTTAATGGATAAAATGTTCTCCATCAAATTTCACTGTGGGTCGCGGAACAACAGAAACCGGTATGTGTAATTTTTAATATAAAAAAATTTGGTTGATTTGTTGGGTTATAAATTTTTATGGCAATTTTTGGGTATTTTTTATTCGGAGCTAATTTCTCCCTTAAAAGTCCATTTTAGCTGATAGATATTAATGGAAAAAATGTTCTCCATCAAATTTCACTGTGGGTTGCGGAACAATAGAAATCGCTATATATAATTTTTAATATAAAAAATTTGGGTTGAATTGTTGGGTTATAAATTTTTATGGCAATTTTTGGGTATTTTTCATCCGGAGCTAAATTTTCTCTTAAAAGTCCATTTTAGCTGACAGATGTCAATGGAAATGTTGTTCTCCATCAAATTTCACTGGGGGTCGTGGAACAACAGAAGTCGGTATATAAAAGAGGTATTCTTGAAATCTGAGTATCAAATAGGAGATATTCCTTTTTTTTCTTTAAAATGTCACATTTTTCTCTAATATCGAACGGATTCCCCTTACCGAAAGACCGCTTCAGGTTCCATTTTTGATCCTCTAAACTTCCTCAGCTCCCTTTCGAATCGACAACACCTTCCCCACTTCCCAAAAATCACCATAAGACCCTCGCAGCCATTAGCATTCGTCTGTGACCCACCTCATGTCAACGACAATCACCATTTGATCAAAAACACGCTCCGCACAAACCACAATCTCAAATGCCAACACGTGCTAAACGGCTATCATACGCTAATCAGAATTAGTTTATTGGCCTGTAATACAAGCCAGTGATTTGAGAAAAAAAAAAGAAAAAACATCCAAAAAAGCGAAACATTTGCCAAAACATGCAACATAATTGTTGTGCCCCAAAACATGTAGTTGCAAGGCAGAAACGAGTAACTAAATTTGTCAAATTAAGAAAAAAAATAAAAAAACAAAGATTTTATAAAAGGCAAATAACGAAAAAAAAAACAATACCAAAAGAAATTTTTTTTAAAAAATTTCTAAAAATATATTTTTTTAGGGTCTCCCTCTGTACGTAGATTTTTTAAGTATTTCTTAAGAACTCCCTCTGCACGTGGATTTTTTTAAAAATATATTTTAAGAAATTCCTCTGTATGTGTGGATATTTTTAAAACATTTTTATGAAATTTCCCTGTACTTGATTTTTTTTTTAAATATTTTCTTAAGAACTCCACCCCAACGTGGATTTAAAAAAAAAAAATATTTCCTTAGAGCGCCATCTTTATGTGGACTTTTGAAAATCTTTTAAAGAACTCCCCCTGTACGTGAATTTCTTCAAAAAAATTTTTTGAGAACTCCCCCTGTACTTGCATTTTTTTAATTTTTTTCCAACTCCACCCCAACGTGGACTTTCAAAAAAAAAAAAATATTTCCTTAGAACTCCCTCTGTATGTGGACCTTTTAATTTTTTTTAAGAACTCCCCCTGTACGTGAATTTTTTAAAATATTTTTTTTAAGAACTCCCCCTGTATGTGAATATTTTTTAAGATATTTTTTCCACCCTTCCTCCTACAGTGAAGGCCAATAGAACCTAGAATCTCCAACGAAAGGAAAAAAATTGTCAAACATCACCATCTTCCATCTTGGGCGACGTAAATGATATTCTCCATATGCCAAACACGTAACACGAAAACTGTTAACAAAAATTTGCTTAGTTTAATTGCT